CCTGTTCCTGCCTCAGCACCTGCATTAACCCCCCAGAGGTGATCTCGTAGCTGCACTGGCCTCTGTGGGAACAACGCATCACCACTGCGCCCTCTCACTGTCATCTCACAGGCGCCCACCCTCAGCACCCAGAACACCCAGACACTCTCCAAAGGACGTGAGCGCATCAGAGGGGATGTGTGCACATCCTGTGGGGGTGTTAGGAATGCCAGGTTGATGGAAGTGCGGTGGAGAGGCGGGGGGAACTTATGCACGCCTTGGTTTGCAACTGTTGCAGGCACGGGAGGGTGACAGTGTGCTGGGGGATGTTCGCATGCCAGAGGGGATGTGCACACCGGAGGCCTCTGGCTTTGCAGATCCGCAAACCCCCGTGGTACGGCCAGGAGGACGTCAGTCTGGCCCGCCACGGTGGCTCTCCCTGCGATCCTGCACCTTCTGGGCCAGGAGGCGGATCTTGCGCAGCCACTCCTGGGCGCTGATGGCCTGCAGGCGCTACTTCAGCTCAGCCTGCAGGCTCCGCTTGGCACGCTCACAGCTGTCACCACCGCCATGTGGGGAGTACAGGCTGCCCTCCGAAGGCCTGCCTCCCCTGTGCAGAGGCTCTCTGCGCTGCTCACCTGCCCAGAGTGACTGGGGCTGGGCGGAAGCCAGGCGTCCTGCCCTGCCCAACCCCGGCCGATCCGCCCCTGTGCGAGCTGCCGCCCCGGGAAGGGTCACAGATCCGGGTCCCGGGACTGCGAACAGCCTCAAGCACTGCCCCCCGCCCAGCAGGGTCACAAATCCAGGTCCTGGGACTGCAGACAGCCTCAAGCACTGCCCCCCACCCGGCAGGGTCACAGATCCGTGTCTTTGTCCCGTGGACAGCCTCAAGCACTGCCCCCCGCCCGGCAGGTCACGGATCGGGGTCCCAGACCACAGACAGCCTCAAGTGCTGCCCCCCGCCGGGAAGGGTCACGGATCCGGTCCCGGACTGCAGACAGCCTTGCCCGCTGCGTCCACCTTCAGTATGCAAATTAGCCGCCATCGTGTTGCTTCAGGGTGGGGGTCCCCACTGGGGTGCCCGACCAGTCTGGGTGAGGGGCTGAGGGCTGTTTTCAGGCTGGCGGGTGACTGAAGCTCCCAACCTCTCCTTTTTTTCCGTTTTTTGTTTTGTTTTTTTATTCTGGGATTTATTTACCTTCTATGGCTGTCACTGGAGCTGAGAGCTGGCTTTAGCTCTGAGGCCCAGCTGCAGCTCTGAGACCTCGGCTGCTGAAAGCAGGGATCTGGGTTTGTTTGGATTCTATAATTGAAACACTGTTGCAGTCCTGCTGGCTGAAGCCTGGCTGGCCAAAAGCAGGTTTCTGGGTTTTGTGTAACTTCTATAATTGCAACATTGTTTCTTAGAGTACAAGCTCAGAGGCCAGCAGCGGCAGGCGGGGAACCTTGGCATCCTCCTTCACTGGAGCCAGCAAGCCTCCTGTTCGCTTCAAGCTGCCTGGCTGCTGGCCGCCATCTTGGTTGGCAGTTAATTTGCATATCACCCTGATTAGCCAATGGGAAGCGTGTCGGAGCTATGGTTAATTACCATGTTTGTCTATTATTATATAGTACTAGAGGCCCGGTGCATGAATTTGTGCATGTGTGGAGTCCGGCTGGCTCACCCTGATGGGGGCTGATCAGGCTGGGCTGGCCAGGGGGAGGGGCCATGGGCAGTTGGGGGTGCCAATCAGGGTTCTGATCAGGCTGGTTGGCTACCGCAGTATGCATCATAGCGACCAGTCATTTCGGTCCTTCCAGTCGTTCTGCCATTCCGGTCACTTGGCTTTTATATACATACATTAAACTATATAAAAGCTATGCACAGAGTGAGCCTGCCTTCATGCTCACTTAAAGGCATGCCAATGAACAGCAGAGTCCATTTTAAACCATAAATGAAGCAACTGTGGTGAGATCGAGAATGACCTGATGGTACATCAAAATGGATAATGCTGAAAGATTCCCAACTCTCATCTGTGTCCCATCATCCCCAAATTCCAGGAAGCTATCAGCACGCGCAAGACTATCAGAAAGCCAGCCCCAATCCTGAAAACAGAGCTTTGGCTTGATGTTCCTGATGATTCCATTCCTCCCCAGTGCCCTCCCAAGTAACCACAGCATCCAGGTAATCAGGCCTCTGAAGGAAGAGAGGAAGTTGGTGGGACAGGATCACTTCTGTGCTCTGCCCCATTGCTGCCCTTGTACCCAGCAGGTAGTCATTTGCCTCAGGGAGCATTTTTAAGCCTGGCTGTTTTTCAGAATCCTGCGCACTTTAATGGGATTGTGCGCAGGAAGGAGGGGACAGTGCCATGGAAAACAGAAATGCAGAAGAGAAATTTCTATCAATAGGGACGGGGCCTTGGGGAAATGGCTTCTGGGTGCACGCGGGGAGGCTGGACCCCAGGCATTAGGTCTCCGAGTCTGGTAAAAATACCTCATCTCTTGTGCCCCATGGGCCCAAGAGCAGCAGAGATGCCCACCTTTGAAGGACTATGTGAACTTGGACACCCTAGGAGTGAGGATATTTTTTCCACTGATTTTTACAGAGCGTGGAAAGAGGGGGAGGGGGTGAGAGAGAACAGGGTGGGGAGGGGGAGAGGAACAGCAATGTGAGAGAGACACATCAATTGGTTGCCTCCCACACACACCTGGACTGGGCTCAAACCTGTAACCCAGGTATGTTCCTGTGACCAGGAATCAAACCCGCAGTCCTCTGGTGCAGAGGCTCTAACCACTGAGCCATGCCAGCCAGGGCTCCCGCTCCCATTCTTGAGTAACTCTCGGGAAAAGGAGGGCCCTTCAGTAGTGAATGAGACTGACCTTTCACCTCAGTGGGATGGAGGGAAGATGCAGATTTAAGCTGCAGCCTTTGAGCAAACCTGCCCTGAGATGCACACTACCCAGAAGACACAGCAGGAAAGTGCACACGCTTTATTTCTAGTTAGAATCAGAGAAACCTCAACAAAGGGTGAACATGAACTGGGCAGATCTCAAGGGGGAAACTCTAGGACACCTTTTGTTCAAACAGGAGGCTGATCTAATTTCTCCTCCCTGCCCCCACCCCCGGCTCCACCTTGGCTGCCCCCTTGCAGCAGCTGCCTCAGGAGTGGAGAGCCTGTCCAGAACACACCAAGTGGAAGGAGCATTCTCCAGAGTGCCTGTCCCACCCAGTCCAGCCTATTTTTAACCCAGTTAGCCTTCCCAAGAGAAGTGCAATGTCTGGCCTTGGAATTCCTTTTGCTCTTCATCCACTCTTGGCTGGAAGGGGACTTGCGATGAAAGTGGCCGAGGATCAGGGCTTGAGTGTATAGCCAACACTCCTGAAGCACTGCCCTTCTTTAGGACAGTCACCCAGTGGCCTTTCAGGCAACCAGGACAGCTGTCCCTCTCAAGGGAGGAACTCAGCAGAATACTAGAAAAGTCCCGCTTACATCCTTGTGAGACTATTTCTGATCTTGGCCACTGCCCATTCGTCTCTATTGGGATTAAGGTGATGAGCATTTCTATTTGATGTTACTCTCAGAACTGCAAAAATATCTGAAGGTTATTTCAATTGGGTTTACCTAAGGGTCACACTACATAAAAGGCAAAGAAATCACCTATGATTTATTTTGCTATCTGTGGAATTTAACATTGCAATCTTATCAATTAATTCCTTAACAGAGAAATTAAATTCTAACAAAATTATTTTGTCCCCCCCTTTCATCCCTGATGAATGGCAAAGTATCTCTTCTGTTATCTAACCAAACTCACCAAATAAGTTATAATGTGTGCACCAGGTATTTTTTTCCTGTTAATCCTCACCTGAGGATATTTCTTCAGTTGATTTTTAGAGAGAGTAGAAGAGAGGGAGGGGGAGAGAGAGGGAAACATCGATATGACGAGAGGCACATCCATCAATTGGTTGCCTCCCAACTGAGGCCAGGGATAGTGAGGCCAGGGATGAAGCCCACAACCCAGGTACATGCCCTTGCCCACAAATGGAACCTGTAACCCTTTGGTGCATGAGCTAATGTTCTAACCACTGCGAAAACTGGCCAGGGCGTGTACACCAGATATTTAACATATAAGTCTAGTTCCAAACACATGCTAGAGAATAACTTTTTTAAATAAATTTCATCAAATTCATCGAGTTTGCTATCTGTGGATTTAACACTGCAATATTATCAATTAATTCCTTGTCCCAACAGAGAAATTAAATTTTAACAAAATTATTTTGTCCCCATTCTCCCCCCTGATGAATGCCAACACATTTCTTCTTTCCTGACTGCTCACTCTTCTTGGCTGGTTTGATATCTTTAGGCTCTTGGGAGATCTTTTCATGGGGCAGGTTCAGCTTTTTCAGCAACAAGCAAATTCTGTGAGACTCGAAAACACAAAATCAGGCCTTCACCTGTAAGACTTAAAAAAAAAAAACACAAGCAAACATGAACACTGCAGTAGTTTACAAAGGAACAATAGCATTTTCAAGGAAAAGCAGTGCTTCTAAAATTCAATATAGCGTATAACTCTAAAAAACCCATGGCTCTTCCCAGCCAAAGACATGGCATTATCAGGAAAAGGAGGTTAAAGACAACAGAAAGGAGTGAAAAGGAGAAAAAGGCTTCATGACTTCAGCATCTCCAGGGTGTCAACCAATCAGCATCAGCCATCCAGACTAGACCACCTGCGTACTTAAATGCAACTAGGAGAAATACCCTATTTAAAGAGTGTGATATTAAAAAACATTCTCTCTTTGTTCGAGTTTGTTTTTAAAAATATTACTAAACAATGTTACCCCAATAAATCTAATTTAAAAGAAAAAAGAAAAAATAATACAAATACATATGTGTTTGTGTATGTACCCACCATGATAAAAAGTTGTTAGTTTGAGTAATGGAATAATGGATTATTTTATTTAATTTTTTCTATGATAATTTTGGTTTCAAAATTTCTGTAAAGTAAATGAGTTACTTTTTGATCAGAAGGTTGTCCTAGGAAACTTATTTTTCTTTGGAATGTTTACATTCTTACTTACCTTCCTGAAATGAGTTTGTCCTGGGTCCAGGTCTCCACTCTCAAATACAGAATTTCCTGCAAACATGGCAGAACTTGCGCCATGGAAAATTTACAGCTCTACACCAATTGCAGTGCCAGTTCTGTCCATTGTAGCATAAGGCAGACATCTCATGGTGCTGGGATTCTGAGGCTCTTATCCCTTTTGGTTGCTTGGACTTCTGACCCCAAAACTGCTGTTTCTTTTTATTTTCTCTCATGTCATGCCTTTTTCTGCCCCCCAGGGATGTCCCCTGGGGTGTCTGTGAATCTCCTTCCTGGCTCTGACTTCCGCTGCCTCCAAGGGGGACAGTCCCCTGGGGTGTCTCTGGATCTCCTTCCTGGCTCTGGCTCTGACTTCCGCTGCCTCCAAGGGGGACAGTCCCCTGGGGTGTCTCTGGATCTCCTTCCTGGCTCTGGCTCTGACTTCCACTGCCTCCAAGGGGGACAGTCCCCTGGGGAGTCTCTGGATCTCCTTCCTGGCTCTGGCTCTGACTTCCGCTGCCTCCAAGGGGGACAGTCCCCTGGGGTGTCTCTGGATCTCCTTCCTGGCTCTGGCTCTGACTTCCACTGCCTCCAAGGGGGACAGTCCCCTGGGGTGTCTCTGGATCTCCTTCCTGGCTCTGGCTCTGACTTCCGCTGCCTCCAAGGGGGACAGTCCCCTGGGGTGTCTCTGGATCTCCTTCCTGGCTCTGGCTCTGACTTCCACTGCCTCCAAGGGGGACAGTCCCCTGGGGTGTCTCTGGATCTCCTTCCTGGCTCTGGCTCTGACTTCCACTGCCTCCAAGGGGGACAGTCCCCTGGGGTGTCTCTGGATCTCCTTCCTGGCTCTGGCTCCCACTGCTTCCAAGGGGGACAGTCCCCTGGGGACTCTCTGGATCTTCTTCCTGGCTCTGGCTCTGACTTCCGCTGCCTCCAAGAGGGATAGTCCCCTGGGGACTCTCTGGATCTCCTTCCTGGCAGTGGCTTCTGTTTCCCCCTAGATGAACTACCCCCTGCGGTCTTTCTGAACTTTCTTTTTGGCCATGCCTCCCACTAGCCTCCAGGGGGACCATATTCTGGGGTCTCTCTGGGCCTTCCTCCTGGCTGTTTCTGATGTCACTCATGGTAACCATGCCCTGGGACCTCTCTAGATGTTGTTCTTGGCTGTGGCTCCAGCAATCCCAGAGGGGAACTATCCCCTGGGGCCCCACTGCACTGTCTTCATGGCTGTGATTCCTATTGTCACTCAGGTTCACCATGCCCTGTGGCCTCTCTAGATCTTGTTCCTGGCTAAGGCTTCTGATGTCCCCAAAGGGGACTGTATCCTGAAGGAATTCAGGGCCTTCCTCCTGGCTGGGGATCCTATGGTTCCACAGTGGGGCCATCTCCTCCTGTGCCCACACTGCAGCCCGCGGGTTAGGGGTATAGAACCCCGGAGGCGGGTTAGGGGTATAGAACCCCGGAGGCGGGTTAGGGGTATAGAACCCCGGAGGCGGGTTAGGGGTATAGAACCCCGGAGGCGGGTTGGGGGTATAGAACCCCGGAGGCGGGTTGGGGGTATAGAACCCCGGAGGCGGGTTGGGGGTATAGAACCCCGGAGGCGGCTTAGGTGGCATTACTGCCCCTCCTGCTTCCATGAATACTGCTCCTGGTGGTAGAGGTGGCAAGAATGGGGATTCCGGTGGAAATGGGTGAAATGGAAATGAGTATGGCACTGACACTGGCAGAGGTGGTGGCATGTTCTGGGCCCAGGGACTGCCAGGCATCCCCATGGCCTCCATATTTCTTTGCTGCTCTTCATTCAGGGGCCATGCTGAGGCCCCGAACCACCCGGGTTGAGGCCCAGGCATCATTTCATGGCTCATTTGGGCAATTTGGACCGACCCTGCAACCAGGAGCAGTTGTGAGTGAAGCATATCACGCTCATTCAGCGCCTGCTCCAGGGCAGTCCGTGTTAAGTGCAGCTGCAAGGTCACGTTCTCATGCTCCACGTGAAGTCTCTGTAGCTCTGGAGCCAAACCCCAGGTGGTCCCCTCCAGCTCCTCCACCCGGTCCTGCAGCTGCTGGACCTGGCACACTAGCTGCTCACGCTGCCTCGCGGCCACGCGCACTCCCAAAGCTAGCGCGCTCCAGGTGCTGGCCCTCTGGCGCATGCGCGGTACCTGCGGGTCGGTCAGGACGGCCTTTAGTCGGTCCTCGATTTCGTTCCAGGACTGCGAGCGGAAGGTCGTGTAGAAATCAGGGCCGCCCCCGTTCAGAAGGACTTCGTTGTTGATGAAACTGATCACCTCGTTGTGGCGGAACCCGCCGGCACAGTCTCCAAAATTCGACGCCATGGCCGCTGAGGCCTAGTCCACCGCCCACCTCACCGGCGACGAGGCCGCGCCGCCACGTCACCGTCAATAATAAAAGCTGCGGCTGCCAATCCGCGCGCCCCTCACCTCCCAGTTCAGTCTTAGTCCAGCCCCAGCCAAGTCCCGGCTTCGGCCTCGGCCTCTTTCCTACCTCACGTCCTCCTTTTCCTCACTAACACCAAAGCTGACTATCGCACCTCGCCAACCCCGAAGCGTTGTGACCAAGTGCTGCGTCACAACTGTCAAGCCGCAAGGCCTTCTGGGACCCACCTTCTTTGGCCCATTCCCTGAGAATTATGGGAAATGGAGCTGTTCCTTGCAAACGCTACGCAATTGACAGGTGGAGGTAGCTCTCCAAATATCAGAGATTTTCAGGCAAAATGTTGAGATAAATAGGATATTATATAACGTTGAAAATGTCAATCCATCAAGATATACCAATTATAAATGTATATACACTTTATGCATCTAAAATCAGAGTTCAAAATATATGCCAAAAATAGACAGAATTGAGAGATGATAGAGGCAGTTTTATAGCAATAGTTGGAGACTTAAATACTCCATTTTCCAAAATTGACAGAAAGCTTTATAGAAGATCGATAAGGAAATACAAGACTTGAAAAACACTATAAACCAAATAGACCTAACAAACATCTACAGAACAGTCAACCCAAAAAATGCACACTACATATTCTTCTCAAGTGCACATTGAAGCTGTTACAGGATAGACCATATGTTAGGCCACCAAATAAGTCTTAATAAGTTTATGAAGACTGAAATCATACTATGTCCTCTGACCAAAATGGAATGAAATTAAAATCAATAAGACAGGAAAAAATGAAAAATATACAAATATGTGAAAATTAAACAACACTGCTAAATAACCAGTGGGTCAAAGAAAAAATCACAAGGGAAATTAGAAAATAAGTAGAGATTAATGAAAACAAAATACAACATACCAAAACTAATGGGATTCAGTGAAAGCAGTGCTCAGAGGGAAATTTATAGCTGCAAATGCCTACATTTAAAAAAAGAAACCTACAACTGTTAAATTAATAATATAACTATCCACCTTAAGGAATTAGAAGCAAGCAGAAGGAAAAAATGACAAAAATTAGAATCGAGATAAGCAAAACAGAGAAGAGAAAAATATAGAGAAAGTAAATCCAAAAGTTGGTTCTTTTAAAAGATCAATAAAATTGACAAATTTTTAAGACAATTGTTCAAGAGAAAAAGAAAGATTCCAATTACTAAAATCTGGTTTGAAGGGAGGACATTTACTACTGACCTTACAGAAATAAAAAGGATTATAAGAAAATACTAGGTATGATTACATGCCAGCAAATTAGGTACCTAGATGAAACACAAATTCCTAAAAAACATACAAACTACCAAAATCATCTCAATGCAATCCCCCTTAAAACTTTGAGTCTTGCCGAAACCGGTTTGGCTCAGTGGATAGAGCGTCAGCCTGCAGACTGAAAGGTCCCAGGTTCGATTCTGGTCAAGGGCATGTACCTTGGTTGCGGGCACATCCCCAGTGGGGGATGTGCAGGAGGCAGCTGATCGATGTTTCTCTCTCTCATCGATGTTTCTAACTATCTCTCTCCCTTCCTCTCTGTAAAAAATCAATAAAATATATTTTTAAAAAAAAACAACTTTGAGTCCTTTTTTTTTTTTTTTTGCAGAAATGTAAAAGTTGATCTTAAAATTAACATGGAATTGCAAGGGACCCTAGTAGACAAAACACTATTTAAATAATGAAGTTGGGGGTTCACACTTTCTACAAGGTAAGACTGTCAAAACAGAATGATACTGGCATAAAGATAGACATGCAGATCAATGGAATAGAATTATACATCTATGGTCAACTGATTTTTAACAAGGGTGCCAAGACCATTTAATGGGAAAGAAACAGTCTCTTAAAAAAATAGTTCTGAGATAACTGGATATCCACATGTAAAAGAATGAAAGTAGACTATTTCCTCACCCCATACACAAAAATTAACTCAATTTTTGTTTTGTTTGTTGTTACTGTTTGTTTAGGATTGTTGTTTTAGTTACTTTTCTAAATTATGTTTGTAAACTTTTTATTCTTTAGCATATGTGGTCACAGAAGTCTGTGTTCCATAGGTTTAGTGGTCAATGGATTAGAAATCTATCGATAGCCACCTGAAGTCTCAAAATATTTTTTAAAAAAGAATTTTTAAAACTCTCCCACCCTGAAGATTGCCTCTGTGTTGGGACACTCCTTTCAATGCTTAGCCAGGCCATTTGCAACACTGCCTTCACCTTTATTTTCTGCTTGTGCAGACCCTGAAGGTCAGCCAGAGGTGAAAGTTTAGGATATTCTCTGAAGATTAAGCCTTTTCTGACTATGTGTATTGTCTTGGGCATATGCATGGCCTTCTTGATTCCATGCTTTACACAGGAGCTTTTAAAAGCACACATTCCCTGACATATCTCCTTTCTAAAGCTGTTTCTTCCCAGGCCTTCTGATGTGTCTTGTCTGCTGTTCCGGGCTGCTAAAGCCAATACTTGTGCCTTTAAGTGCTTTTATCAAATGCTACCTGGGAAGCTGCCCCAAACCTGAGAATGGTCTGAGTTAGGAGAAACAAAGGCAGGCCCTGTGCACCAGTCCTTCAGGGAACCACCAGACAGATCAAAATACACAACCACAAGTCTTTGAGAACAAGGTCTGTATTGCCCCCTCAGGTCCTTGGCACCAGGAGTACAGGCGTGGAATATGGGGAAGGATAGATAGACTATTTAAAACACCAGAGAACTCTCTTGCTGCAATGCACCAGCTTCTTCATTAAGTTTTCCCCTGGTTGTTATACATTTTTCGACTAGATTCCAAAGTTCTGCAAAGTTGATTCTGACAGTTTTTGCTGGCTCATTAGTTGCTTTAATGGAGGGATAAAACCGTGGGGTGCCCTACTCTGCCATTTTTGGTATAAAGAAAGCTATCATGGCCAAAACCCATTAATATTCCAGATAAGATTAATTTCATCTCGATGTCATCTCTCACACATCCTTCCAGCTCAGCCATCACCTCCTCCAGGAAGACTTTCCTGACAACTCCACACCCAATACTGTAATTAATTTTTTATACTTCTCACCAACTAGACTTAGTCTCTTAAGGGCAGAGACTGATTGTATCCTTTCATTTCAAGATCCCTAGCACCTGACATAGTTCCAGTTACATGATAGTGTGTATAAGTGCCAAAGGGAGGTACAATGGAATAATGAAAGATATACTAGTAGAAAGGGAGAAACAGAGACAATTCCATGATTTCTATAATACTTGTTAAAATTCAGACTGAAACCTATTAGAGGGGTATCTTTGTCATGGTTTCAATACAAAGATATTAAGCTTTTAAAAGACACACATCCCTAAAGAAAAAAGTTCACCATATCCAAACTGATACATGTATCTTTTGGGGAAGTCCTTTTATACAATGTTAAACTTTATAACAACTTCAAACTATTTCTAAACTAGTCCAACAACGCTTCATAAATGCCAAGGTATTTTAAAAGTATTATCATTAAATTTACGATGCTTCTGACCTTTAAGACCTTTATGGAATCAATTTCCACTCTATTGAAACAGGAAGGTGATATATAATGGCCTGTAAAGTGAGATTTTAAAAGTAACCTGACTGGGTTATCATTCTTGATGAAACAATGATAACATCACAAATACCATCACACTTTACTTTGCAGGTGTGCAAGTTTGCAAAGTGTGAATGTATGTTTACAAGAGAATAGAACAATTCAATCGCATAAATTAATCAATCTGAGAAACCACATTAGAAACAGAGCTAATTTTTACATGATTTTCAGTAAGTTCGTATACTTTCAATTTTAGTATAACCTCTGTCACAAAGCTTTCATAACAACTTTAAATGATAACCATTGATGATAAAGGAAGGAAAATAACATTTTAAAGTTCATCATATTAGTATGCATCTACGCTTGTGCAGATTTAATCTCCCAGGAATCAAAGGTGGTAAACAGAATAGAGAAAAAGCATATACAGTAAATATAAGCTATATGTGCTGAGTACTGAGGAACAGTTTTATACTGCTTTAGGAAAATTACACCTTTTATTACATATGCTCTCTTTTCTTGTACTTTGCAACCACCATGACCTCTGCAATGTAGCTGCCCAGCAGATGCCAAAAGAAAAGAGAGGAGGCACCTGGGCAGTTAATCTCAGAAATGCTAATCAAATCCCCTGATTTTTTTTTTCCCATGTGAGCAGAGTACATGGGTAGAAAATCATTGTAGATAATCAACACAAGTTCAAAACAATGTCACATTGTAAATAAACATAGCTTACAATTTTATCTGGCCCATATTGACAACTGGTATGGTTACCACTGTGCATACGGTCAAATTAATCATGAAGAGGAAGCAGATCTCATGCGTTCAGTTTATACAGACAAACTGGATTTCCTCTCTCCATGTTAGTACTCAAGTATCTGTAAGTAACATCACTCGAACATTTTGACTGAAGTCATTCACAATTTTCGGTCTTCCCACCCCCACAGCTGCCACAAAAACATACTCAGACACACAATCTCTCACACAGGCTCACATTCTCTGGCTGACAGGACACGCTTGGATCATCACACTTGGAGGGGAGGGCAAGGATAGATGAGCCAAGTGCCATGGTGTGAGACAGAGGAATAGATTCTCAGTCCCCAAGATTGGAGACTCTTAAGGGTGGGGTATTAGGTAGGGGCTGAAGCAGGAGAGGAAGAACCAGCTGCCAGGACTGACCAGCAGACCCTGAGCGATGGATGAATGGATTACTCTGACACACGTTTCTGTGAAAGAGAAGGCCAAGGGCCTGTATGCCAGGAGACACCAAAGCAACCCCGATTGCCTGCCTCCTTAGGCTTTTATTGTAACAACAGCTTGAACTCAAATTAACCTCTAGATACAATCAGCAGGGTAAGTATCCTTGAGAAAGC